CCCCGTTGATGTCAGATGTCACAAAGTCAAGTTTTCCTCTTGACATAAAACTCCCATGAATGACCATGTGGTGTTAATCTGTGTGTAGTCTGTGCAAGGACTTTACATGGTGCTGCAGAACGGTTTGAGTTGTCCCCAAGGATTCATGTGTCCTCCATGTGACACTGTGAGAGGGTCTGGAACCTTCAAGAAGGTTTATGCCTACTGGAAAGTAACTGGGTCATTGGGAGTGTTGCCTTAGCATGGATGAAGGAGGTTTTTGTGGGACCATCATTAATTCTTGCGAGAGGGTTGTTATAGAAGAGCAAGTCAGACCCCTTCTTTCTCTAGCTTCCTAAATCGCCATGTGATCTCTCCCCCACTCATTCATGATCTCATCATGAAGCCATCTGCCACAGTCTGACAGGGCTTGGTGTGGCAAGCCCTTACCAAAACCAGGACCAGCACCATGCTGTTTGGACTTTCTGCCTCCTCCAAAATTGTGAGCTGAATAAATTTCTTTTCTTTAAAAAGTACCCAGCCTCAAGTATTTCATTACAGTAACTGAAAACAGGCTAATGCAGATGATGAGCAAAGGAATGGCAAGCATAGATACTGGGCAAGGTTATAGGTAGCACTGCCTATCATTTTCTGTGTTTGTGCACTATAAGTAACACACTCCTCTACAATCTTGTGTTATAAAAGTAAATGAATAGTTGAGTGTGTCAGGGTGGGAGATTCTGGGAAGTTTTCCAAGCAAAAATCCTTCCGTCAAGTGGAAGAAGACAGACTTCATAAATAATTCCTAGACAACAGTAAGAACTGGGCCATTCTTCTTGCCCAAGGTTAATTTTATAAATTACAAGGGAGAAAAGAAAAGCATGAGATGTTCTGAAGAGGTTTTGTAATCTGTCTGATGTCATGAGTATTGTAATACATCAATGAGAGCGATGCTTTTCAACTGCAGAGGCCAATCCATTAGCACATCATGAAACTGATTCACTGGGGTCAAGCCCAGTCTCAAAAACCAAAACCAAAATTGAAAAACAAGACAAAACAAAATGAAAAAAAATTCCAGAACAGAACAATAAGATGAACTAGAAGAAAAATACCAGAATGCTGTAAATACAAAAAGAATGACTTATTCTGTGAAATTGGATGGTGGAATAAAATACATTTTCCCCCCTCTGGATCATGGTTGAACAACCGGAAGGCACTTGTATTACAGAATGTGAAAGACCTGTTGCTCACTGCCAAAATGAGAAATGAAGCTTGAAATTGGATGTTACCATTGTTAGCCAGGGTGTAGATAATCCCCTTATCCTGCTTCTCCTAGGAAGGGTGAAGGGGCGCAGGTGAGGGATTAGGGCAAATGTAACCCATAGTTTTATCAAAACGTTGCTTTAGAATCTAGTACGAATGAAGTCAAGGCAAACCATATTAGCTTTCTGTCCCTGCATGACAAATTATCACAAATTTAGTGATTTTTGTAGGTCAGAAATCTGAGCAAAGGTAGAACAAGGTTCTCTGTTCATGTGACTGCAAAGGGCTGCATCTGACCACTCACGTTGGTTTAACTTTGCTTGTATAACTGATCACCTTGAATAGCAGGATTCAAGGATCCACAGAAAGGTCCTTCTATCCTAAAATGCCTTCTCTATCCCAGTCAAAACTCCTATTAAAATTAATTTCTTTTGTGCTGGGGATGTGGCTCAGTATGATCACTGGCTTAGCATGTGTGAGTCCCTGGGTTTGATGCTCAGCTCAAAAGAAATAAAAAAAATCATTCTTTACCTTTTCCCAAAGAGCCCCCTTACAACTCTTAAGTAAATAATTTTGTGAGCAATTTTTAAATAACTCCTCCATGCGAAAGCAAGCCAACTTACAGTGGGCACCCAATGCGAGCAAGACACAAACGTCTGCTCCTCTAACTCCACAGGTTTGGAGGTGTTTGTCACGGCAGCACAACACAGTCTATTCTGACACAGAAATGTTAGGGGCCAAGAACATATGTTGGATGTTTGGCTATGAAGGGATTCTGTGCTTGTTTCAGGTGTGAGGACTTGAGTTTCGTTGCTCAGTAGACACAGCATCTCCTGGAAGGTGGCTACAGTGACACATTCAGGCCCCGCCTGAGTCCACTGAACCCGATTCTGCGCTGTATCAAGATCTCTACATAATTCAAAAAAACAGTGAAGTTTTTGGAGCAGTGGTCTAGAGAAAGTGAAAATCCAAAGCCCCTGAAGTACATTTGAGCTTGTGGTACGACAGCGATAGCAACCCACACACTGCCCGTCCTCCAAGTGAGGTCCTGGACCAGCAGTGTCTCTGTCGCGCAAGGAGCGACAGACCTGCAGGTTCTTGGAGCTCAACCAAGACCTACTGAATCTCAAACTCTGTTAGCGTGGCCCAGTGTTCTGCACTTGAGCAATCTCGTGGGGGTTCTCATGTGCATTAAAGCTCAAGCACTACTACTGGATGCCAGGGGGGAGTTAAAAAGAGGAGTTCCTTCTCTTCCTCTTGGACAAATGAAGAAACAAAGACATGGACAATTATGAAATTGCTTCCCTGGGAAAAGACCATCTGCTTTATGATGAGATTCTTTATGATGAGCCTTCCAGGTGCACCCTGGGAAGAACAAGGTCTGGCCTTGCGCTGTTCTCACCACTGTGACACAGTCTCTGCTTTCCTATCAGAAGGGAGTTTCAGGACAGTGCTCTGGGTAAACAGAAAAGGGAGACAGATGGAGGGCCAGAAAGGGATGTGTGCACCAAAGGACTTCTTTGCCTTTTGCCTGCCTGGTCTTCAGGGCCACTTTACACTGGAACGCTGTGGTGAGTGTTCCAGGGGACATTTCCAGGGCATGCCTCCCTTAGAAACATCTCTCCCCCTATCATGAATGCAGTAGCGCAAGAAAGGAAAGCTACATGGCCACGTGCGAAGCCACACTAGTAGCCTTGACTGTGCTGGCTCCTTTTTTTTTGTCCTTTTCCTTTTTATCGGTACTGGTGATCGAACTCACGGCTGTCTGCTTGCAAGGCAGGCGCTTATGCCGCTGAGCTAACTCCCCAGCCCCCTGCTGGCTCCTTTTGGGGGAACCACAGTCCCATTCTTGGAGTGCTTTGTTCAAGTTGTCATTTAATCTTTGTTGAGTGACTTTGTGGTGCAAGGCCTGCAGTGCCCACGGGAAGCCTCTCTTTCTGAGCACAGAGATCTGAGCCCTGACCTAAAAACTGGAGCACCAGTACTTCCTCCACCTGAGTCTCGACTGAAAACACTAAAGCACTCCGGCAGCTGGGGCTGAACCTAGGAAGCACCACTTTCTGGATTTCTCTCTTGCAAAGCAGCGGGTGAGAAGCCCAAGGAGGAAAGTGCATCTGTGGGGCAGCGTGGGACCTTTGTACCCCCAGAGCCACAGCTGACTCTTCTTTTTCATAGGTCAAGGGACCAACACATCCACCTCAGGTGGGGTGCGGGTGGGCACCCCTGGTTACAAGTTACAATCACCTATGGAGCCTGTAGGGCTCTCAGAGCCAAGCCACTCCCAATGAGGTTCGAGCCCCTTGTGGGTGGGATCCAGGCACTGGCACTTAAAAAAGAATCCCAGATGATTCTACTGGGAAAACAGCTACATCCCAAGCCTGCAATTTATCTTTTTGATTTATATAATTGTTACCAAACTTCAGATACAAATGAGCAGTTTTAATGTATTTTTCTTATATAATAAAGTGTCCTGGTAGTAGATTATTTTTTTGGTAATTTCACTTACTACACCATCAGCATGTCACAGTGTTGTCACTGTGAACACTTGATCAAGGGATAGCTAGTTTGGGCTTGTGGTGGGGAGGCCTGTCATTACAGAATGGGGACTTTATAAATATGGTGAATGCAAAATGAGTAGCAGCTTCACAGCCCATCACTTTGCTCCTAACATCTGCTCTTGTTCTTTTCTTTTTTTCTTTCTTCCTCTTTTTTTTTTTTTTTTTGGTACGGGGGATTGAACTCATGACCTCGTGCTTGCCAGCCAGGCACTGTGCCACTGAGCTATCCCTGGCTCTGCTCTTATTATTTTCATTCTTTTGTACATTACGGTTTACTCTGCAAGGCCTTACAAGACAATGTCAAGATAGGTTAAAGGTTATTAAAATTATTACATTGACAATATTGTTGTAGTGAGCATGAACTCCTCTTATAAAATCCCCAAATATCGTTAGTCTAAAAAAAGTTAATTCACATTCCTGGTGGTAGAGAAAGAAAGAGCTGGAAGATGCCTGAGAACTCACAGATTCATAAAGATTCTGCTCAACTTTGGTGACTTTGCTTTTTTAATAAGCTCCTAAGCAATGCCCACACTGCTGATTTTCATTCTCAAAACATCCAAACTGGAGAGAATCTCTGAATGAAAATGAGGCTCAGCAGCTTGGGCATCACTTAGGAGCTTATTAAAAAGCAAAATCTTGGGCTATATTCCAGGCACAGTGAGTCAGACACTGCAGTGGAACTCCCTAGATGATCCGGAAACACAAGAGAAACTCCAATTCTGCCCATCTATGCTATTTACAACATCAAGCTAACCAAAATCAAACCCATGCAAGAAAATTATAGATGATCATAAGCTTCAACATGCTCTGGTAACAAAGCAGCACGGAATCAGATTTAAAATCAGTAGTAAACATTTCTTTGATTATTAAACAGCTGTGAAACTAATAAAAACAAGAGAATACAGATGATGTTAATGAGCTGAGGTCGACGTCCAGCGTTACAGTATCAATTTAGTTATGATACAATATATTAGTAGTATTGCTTTTTTTGCAATTGTCATCTATATTTTTAAACACTTGCTTAAGGTTATGAAGATAGAAAAATGTTTTACACCATAATCCAGATTATACACAGAACTTACATGTGCTATGCGTCTGATTTGTGGCTGTTTCTCACGGGAAGTGGCTCCTCCAGGTCCCTGTTCTCTGTTTTGCTCTGTGTGCCCCTAAATAGCTCTGTCTGTCAGGAGCAACTCTTACCTCTTGGGGTTGTTGGTACCGAGAGGCCATAACGAGGAAAGCCCGCTGAGCTTGGAAAGCCCCATGTACCATTTCTGCCTGTGAATAAAGAGAAAGACAGCAGTTTCAGTGTTTGGATTACTAAACCAATAATTACCACACGACCCAGGAATTCTACCCCTACCAGTGTACCCAAGAAAGACATAAACACATGTTCACCCCAAAACTATCACAGGAATATTCAGAGCAGCATTATTCACATTAGCCACACTGTGGAAACAATTCTAATATCTCCAGATGGGTAACAGAGAAACAAAATGTGATGTGTCCACACAATGATGTATTATTTTGAGAAAGAAAGAAGTACCATCACATGCTACAACACAGGTGAATTTGGAAAACATGCTGAGCAATGGGAACCAGTCCCGAAAGAGCACATTTGTATGAGTCCATTGATGTAAAATGTCCAGAATAAGCAAATCTATAGAGACAAAGTAGATTAGTGGTTGCCAGGCGCTGGCACAAGAGAGAATGGGGGGTGAACTGTGGATGGGAATTGGATTCTTTTGGGACTGATGAGAATGTTCTGGAATTAGTGGTGATGATTTCACAACTTGGTGAATATACTAAAAATCATGGAATCATATTCTGTAAATGGATGGATGTTAGGATATGAGAATTATATCTCAGCACAGTTATTGTAAAAGATTGAGCCTCACAATGCAAAGGATATTCAAAGGATGTCTCTTTCTTGTCCTCTTTATGAGTGTGCCCAAAATCGGGGGAAGAGAATTGTCCCTTAAGTCACACCCATGATGATATGTTCACCAACAATCACTGGTCTTATGAGAACTCACGTGGAAGAGATTTCTGTCGTGTCATTTGGGGTCCTGGTAGGCTGGGGGTCCACCTTGACTGAACTTCCCCCAGAAAGACATGCGCAGGTGAGAATGGACACATGTTCTCTTCTTCTTACCTTCTACTTACACTTAACTCATGAAGTGTAGCAAGAAAAGATACCTTGAAATATTCATATCACCAAACACTAGTTCTTTTAAAACATTATCTCTTAGTTTTAAAGAAAATTCACATAGTTGTTTCCATAAGATAAAATGTGGGTATGGGATACGTTTTAAAAATGTAGACCCCAGGCTTGATCCCAGCTTTACCACCATCACCACCACCAATAACAACACAAAGAAATAAAAAGAAATATGGAGAGAGACTTACAAAATGGGACTACATCAAGGGGTATTTTTAAATTAGAAAGCATACATCTTAATTATAATTAAATAGAGATTAAAAAGAAAAAGAACTGTTAAACGTCAAAGAAAAATTTCTGCACCATAATAGTTATTAAGTCCTAAATGGTCAACGTAAGGTTTAAGAAATTACAAAACAGGAATTAAATTAATTAGTGTTTGCATTTCAAAAAATGTGTTATAATTTTAAACAGAATTGGTTGGCCTCTTGCTGAAAAAGATCAAAACGTCATTAGTCTCATACCCTATCCATTGCTGGTTCCTTCTCTTCCATATGTCTTAATTATAATAATAATAATAATAGTAATTATTATTATTATTATTAGTCTTTTTGAGACAGGGTCTCGCTATATAATTTACGCTGGCCTTGACCTCACTTTGTAGCCCAGCTGGTCTCAAATTCCCAACAATTCTGCCTCAGCCTCCCAAATACTGCTGGGATTACAGGTGTGCACCACCACACCTGGCTTTAGTTATTTTTATTTTACTCAATTTATGACATTTAAATTCTATCTATAACAGCAATTTCCATAGTTGTTTGGTACTAGCTCTGTATCTACAGGAAGCTAGTGGTTAACACCAGAGCCTCTCCACTTCTGAGGCATCCTGTTATATTTTATAACTGGTTGGACCTCCATAATAAGTGTTTCCTTCCCCAAGGCCTCAGAATTTTACTCAAAAGAGTTTAAGCATAGCTCTGGTTGTCTTCAGATCTTTGGGTCCCTCTCTGTCTCTATATCCAAAGTAGAGCCCTAGATGGAGAAGTTGGAGCCTAGTTTTCTGTTTCCCTTCCCTGGAGGAAATTGACTTATTCTGGTCTGATTTCTGAAGATTTATTTCTTTATCCCTGAGATTTAGCAGCTTAACTAAGACATGTTTGGGTTTTGAGCATTCTTTATTATATTTCTTGGGAAGATTTAGTCCTTTTTTCATCTTTTGGGAAATTTTCTTATTATATCACTTGATAATACATCTTTTGCTCCATTTGTGAGAGTCCTTATTCAGAGACTCCAATTGCTATCCTCATGTTGTGTAATGTTTGAATGCCTTCACAGCTTTCAGAACCTGTCTCTAACTTACCACCTGTTATTTGTGTTCCCTGTGCTCATATGAATATTTTTTCTATCATTACAAAAAAAATTTCCACTGGTCTCATACAATAAAGGATATATATCTACATTGATGTTGTTTTAAGTTCTTGATTTGTTAGACTTTTATTTCTTTTCATTCTTATTTTATCACCTTGTGTCTAAGGTATTTTAGAATTACGTTTATACTCCTGTCAAGTTCTAAGAGCATAAAGTATACTCTTAATAAGTCATCAGGAAAGCTCTGTTTGGTTACTTAAGTTTATTCTCTTCAAAGGTGCTATAGTTTGGATCCAGACTAGCCCTCAAAAACCTCTGTGTTAGAGGTATGGTCCCAAGTTAGGTGTTAGGAGATCAGCCTTGGGGTGAAGTCTTCAGTTGCTAGGAGCACCCCTCAATGATGGGTGCATATGAGACTTTAGTCTCTTTATTCTTGGCCAGGAGGTGAGCAGCTTCCTTCCCCACACACAGCTGAGTAAGGCTGCTGTTATGGTTTGTGTTCAAATGTCCCCCAAAACCTCATGTAGGCATGGCGGTAGGCCTTTTGAAGGCAGCTGAGTCTAGCCTTTATGATTGGTTTGTTGTGTAGTGCTGGTGGTGTGGGTGCTGCACCCACCTATGGGCAGGTAGCGGGCACACAGGGTAAGGGAGGGAAGGAGGCAAAGCATTTTGTCCTTTTTTGCCCTTTCACTCTGGTCACCTTTGGAATGTGCTGCAGCCTCCATGAAGGGCTCCCCCTCAGTCAGGCTGCTCTGCCTCGGAGTCACCTGAGTGTGACTGAAACCTCCAAAACCTGAAAGCTAAATAAACCTTTTCTTCCTTCATTTTGGGAATCAGGTATTTCATCTCAGCAATGAGAGAAAAGTAACCAAGTCAGATGCTTTCTAGATTCTACAGGAAACACTTTTTAACCTGGCAATTCTGTACCTAGCCAAAGTATCAATCTAGGGTTAGGACAGCATAAAAATATTTTCTGATGTTTAAGCGCTTTGAACTTGTCTGTATTTGTTCCTTTTGTTTCTTTCAAAGCTAAAAGTTAATTCTACCAGAAACAGAGTATATTCCACAGAAAGGAGATTTGTTGTATGGGAATTGAGGAGGCAAGAGAGGGACAGAGGAAACTCTCTGGCTGTGAGCTGAGTATGCACCTAAAGAGTTCTGGGACTGGCTGGAATTGCAGGAATATTCCAGGAGAGATGTAGTCAAGTAATGTTAACAGCAACAATAAAAAAATAATGAATTAACAAAAGAGAAAACTATTATCTGATGGCTTGAATTCTTTAAGAAGAAATTTAGATTTCTTTGGGAAACTTGGGGGGGGGGGTAATTCAGCATAATACAGAAAAATAAGCCAAAGAAGAATAATTCACAATTAAGTTCATATATTTCTCCCCTCCAAGATGTACTGTCTTACCATATCCCAAACCTCTAAACCAGGAACCAAAATGACCTTTCTTCTCTTAAGCTGTTTATCTCAAGTATTTTGTCATAGTAATGGAAAGTTGACTAGCACAAACAGTAAGCCTATGTCTTTCTACTTTGCACACTGTATTCTGTTTTGAGACACTATGATAGCCACCATGCTGCTTCTTTCCATACTGCTCATGCTTGACTTGCCTTGTCCAGATACTTTATTTTTTTCTGATAAAACATGGGTGATTCTTTGAGTCTCTTGCCATCATACTGGAGATCAGTGTCTTTTCCTTTGGAAGCAACAGTTTGAAGACAAAATGCTTTGTATTCTCTTATTTTAGGGAATGCGGAGTAGGAACAGAGTAAGGAAGAGTTCAGCAGAGATGATGAGCTGTGGTCTCTGTTTAATACTGCTTTTTCTGGGAAGGGGTGAAATGATTCAGTCCACCTACTTGCAACATGTGCCATTCTGATGGAGAAAGTGGTCCCTCCAGTGCAGAACCTAGACAGGAAGCTACACCATTTACAGAGAGAAGCAGCCTAGGTGTTCTTTGCCATGTTCATATTCTCCTTTCTTCATTTCACTTCTTCTAAGTCCTTGAGGGATGGGGAAGATAGGATCACAAGAACCAAAGCTGTTCACCCATCATTTACTGACATGTGTTGCTTTAGACTATGACTTTTTTGTTTGTTACCATGAGGGAATTTTTAAAAACTCTCCTTGTGTTTTTGGTTATTTGTGGGAAGAGAAAAATTTTTTTCTTTCCTGAAAGTAATCTTGCAAGGGGTGATTCAGTTTTATTTGATCATGAGTTTATATTTTTTTTCGCTAATTGATTTCATCTTTAATATCTCTTTGTTAGCTTCCTATCTATTTGGGGAAGTTTCTGTCTCTACTATCTTGGACATGACTTACTTCTCTAACAGGTAAGAAACAACTTCACACATTTTCACAAACATACATACCTTGGATAGCAACAGAAACATGAAATTCACCCCAATGTCAACATTAGGCAAATTTCTGGGTCAGAAGGATAAATGTGTTAACTAAATGGGAAATGACTAGTTTTTACCATTTCTACATTCTTACCATGTTTGGCACAATATTCCACAATATTCACTGAAATGGACACCTAAATCTTGTTTCTAATTGTCTTCATTACTCCTCATCTAAGGTCTCTTTTTTTTTTCTGTTAAGAAGAAAATGCTTGGAATCAAACCAAGATTGTAAACTACTTACATTCAAAGTTACAGATTCAATCATCATCACCACAACAGATTAAATCTTATGATTGTTTAAATGAATGTATTTTTTTCCCTCAAAAACATTTGGAAG